TTGTGTTATTATTGTTTGTATTATCATATTTACACATAACATTTCAGACAACTTACCGCCAAAACAGTGAGTTTATAAATGAAAATCAAACGAACGTAACTTTAAAGGCATGTGTTTAAATGAAATATGTGTAGCGATTTTAGCCTTGTATTGAGTTGTAATGTTTTTAAGTTTTTATGTTAGTAAAACTTACTATACTTACGACTCGCTGTTATCACGATTTTAAAACATTTTTAATAATTTCTGGAAAATGGGGCTCCAAACATCCTTTTCGGCGAGTCAAGTGATGATTAAGATTGAAAGATTTATCAGTAATATTAGCTAAACTGCAGGATTTCAAGAAATCGTAATCCGAATATTTTCAAAACTCTTAAAAAATCCTTTTTTTGTGTCGCACAGTGTGATTTTTGTTATCCGTGGCTATTGGATGTATCGCCATTACCTTTGCGTTCCGCCCATTTGCAATAGGTTGAGGTCTAGCTGACTGCAACATTATTCGTAAGACTCCTCCAATTTGTTTGAATGAAACAACAATGGCAACAATTAAATGTTTTGTTTTCATTTTATTATTTCAGATACATTTTATTTATTTATTTATTGGTTTGTTTTCATTTTTTTATTTTAAGAATAAATTGAATTTGTTTATTATGTTGTAGTTGTTCTTTATGATAAATATGTATTTGTGGTTGTTGTTCTCCTCAGTTAGTTGCGTTAAATTGTATTGTAATTGGATTTGGTTAGTGAATAGAAACATTAACGTGTCTATAGATATGACAAAACAAAACAAACAAAAAAATATTAAGAAAAAATAAATAAAAACTGTATGAACGGTATCAATCTAATCAATGGAATTAGTTGTGTAACTTGATCCACTAACACTGACATTTACAGATCCAGATACAGATCCAGATACACTCGAAAACGAACATTGATTATGGAAGATTAGCTTTTTGAAGATTGTCGCAAGTGTAGTGTCATTTTTAGCATCTAAAACATAAATGGACAAATCTCTTCTAACAACTACAGTCCACATTAAACTGCGGCAAAGCATGCCGATTGTGTTCAACGCTAGATAATTAACATCCATTTATTGGCTCATACAATAAAATTTAAGTTAGTTTACGAAGAAAGCAGTTCTGAATCGATTTAATTGAAATATTCAAGCAAAATATTCCCCAAAACATTTCAACTACACGTTGCACAATAGTTCGAACATTTGTATCTTTTTCGCAACTGTTGCACTTGGCAAAAAAAAAAAAATGTCTTAAATAGTTATGCTAATGAAGTCCGAAAGGAGTAAAATTGTCTCGGTCCGTAAATCTAGTTTGTATTAAAAATTACATATTTTATATGGGAGTGTAAACACGGCTGCCGCACTTTAACGAGGTTGCGTGAATGCTAATAATTGTTTGCGCCTAAAATGCCGCCTCACTTTGTTGCTCTTTAATTGTTGCAGACAATCCCAGTCGAACACGAACACTGCACTACAACATTACAGGCGTCATCTAAATATACATGTCTTTAATTTCCATTGCGAAACATCGTCCGGCGTATTCCGATCAGTTTAAATAAAACAGTTGACAATTCAAAGGAATAACAATTATAAGAATAATGAGTCACGGCTGTGAACATCATTTACAACTTGTCATAACACACACGGACACTATCGAGCACAGTCAACACATCTGCATATGTTAGGTTGGTGTTTGGATTCCTTCTTTAGGCAACCCCAACAATAATTACAAGTCTCTTAGACAGACTATTAAAACATTTCTGGATGCTGGTATAAGGCCTAGCTGTATTGAAATAAAAAGAGTAACCACGATGCCAACACTATTGCAACTTCGGTCTGGGTTATATGCATGTGAGTATATGTCTATGTAGGAGAGTTTGAATGTATTGCTGTGTCAGATTCTGTTCTTTGGGGGAGTGTTTGTTTTGTTTTCGTTTTCGTTTTGGTTTTATTTATTTATTTTGTTATAATAAAAGGCAAAATATTGTTTTTTGTTTTATTTTTATGTTTTCTTTTAATTATTATTGAAAAAATGTTTCATTGTTTTCTCTTAAATGGGATTCTGAATATATTTCAGCGTGCATTATACCTTCAACTCCTCTACATTCCTACTGCTACTACCGTTTGTTTCTTACATATGTAACATAATAATAGTAATAATAATATTCTTCCTCTTCTTCACTTTTGTTGTATTAATTTAATAAATTTCCGCTTTCTTGGTTTCTTTACTTGTTTGTGTGTATAATAATTTTTAATAATAATGGTAATAATAATAATAATAGTGATAATAATAATGCTAATTAAAAAAGTTTAACCATTTTTTGTTTTTCATTTCATTTGTTTTCTCGTATGAATTTTTACTAAAAACTTAAAAATATATTTGTTTAACAATAATATATGTATATATACATATGTATGTAATGTGTATGTATATATAAATATATTCATATATATATATATATAAATTGTAATAAATCTTTTATTTTAATTTGTTTTTCTTTCTTCATCTTCATTTTTTCTTACTCCTTTATTTCTAATAACGTATGTTTGTGTTTATATATATATATATATATATGTGTGTGTGTGTGTGTGTGAATGTTTTTCTATATATTACCGTATAAACAATGGGAATCAAACATATTCGATGACAACACTCCACAACAATAACAACGGGAATTAAACAGAAAGCTTCATTGAAAAGAATGGATTGAACAGCGTGCAGCAGCATCCATGGAAATACAATTCAATTTTATTTCATTCTGGAGATATCTATCCAAGCCAAACTCAATCCATCAATATCCGAAGTGTGAAAAAAATAATATTACATATCATTCCATTTCGCATGACTCAACATTATCAATATTTAGATGAAATTCGAGATTTGAAATGATGCATTGTTGGCCGATATTCAAACATCTTATCAGTACGAGGCATTGGTCGCCCAACGACGAAGGCGTCTGAAAATAGACAACTTCTTCTGCGGCGCTAAATCTTGGCCAACAATCTAAATTCGTGTCATCTACGGTCATTAACGCAATTCCGAGCTCATTATATAGACATTTTTTATTTTTATTTTGAGAAATCAAAACATGATGCTTTCGACCAGGGTTTGTCCGAAATACATTGGCAATGGAAAAATTCATACTTTAGCATTTCATGTTTATCTATGGCAGTCATGTTTGCGAATATCGATGTGAAGTTGACATCTCGTCTGGTAATTTCGATAACATATTAAGATTCGCATGGTGTGGTCTGGGCAATAGTTAACTGTATTGCAAGGTTTGGTGGCAAAGCGGAAGTCGAATAACATTTGACTCCCACCGTCGAGAAGTGAATGTGTCTGTGGCATGTATGTTATATTGGATTTGTGTATGAATGTATGTGTGTGTGTGTGTGTGTTGTGCTGAATGACATGGTATATGTGGTAATTAGGATAACATTTGTGTGTGTGTGTGTGTGTTTGTTCGTTTTTGTGTATTAATAATCGCTTGCATTGCCATCAATCGTTAGTCAATTTCACAAAAAACGATAACATTAAAGTTTTTTCTTTTTCCTTTTTCTCTTTTTGCAAATGGTTTTGTTGTTGGTTGCTGCTTGATTTCACATAACATATACATTGTAAATGTAAATATATATGTTGTATATGTATGTGTATATAATATTAATTTAAATATGTATATATCATTGTTTTCATTTTATTTGTTTCTTTATTAATAAATTTGATTTAAACTAATCTTTTTGTTGTTGCATTAAGGCCAAAAATGTAATGGAAAATGTTAATGTAATGGAAAATATTAACTAATCAAAGAGACGAGAAACTAAAATACAGAGCTCGAGTTTCTGCTGTGTTTTGTTTGTGTGTTTTGTTTTGTTTTGTTTAATTTAAATTACTTTCTAGAAAACTAATTTTTAACGCTTTGTTTGTTGTATCCCTTTCGCAATATTTGTTTCGCTTAAATAGTGGTAAATAAATGTATGCATGTGTGAATGTATATATGTGGGTGTGTGGTGAGGGGGAGGTCTTGAGTCAGGTATTAGAACTAGAATAAAATTGAAATTCACTCGGTGTCCAAATGCATTTTTTCTTTTGAAAACTTATTTTATTCTCTCCTTGAAGGAGAGATGCAACAGCAAAGAGTTAACAGTTAAACAACATTTTTGCGTGAGAAGTAACATGTCGGTGCTGACCACTGACTGACCGGAAACTCTGATTTCTAATCTCCGTGCATTCTATGAAGGCTAGGCTAATGGAAACTAGTATTTCGCCAGGACCAGATTTTGTTGAATATTTCAGACTATTCTTGGGAAATCAATAGTTTTAAGTACTTATAGACACCGTTATGGCCCAGATCAAATGCCCGATAATTCTGGTCATCAGCAATGTGCATTTCTTAATAAAACTAACAATAGAGGTAAGACCCTAAACCTAAACGATTTGCTAGCCGAATGTCTGGGTAAATGTAAGGCTTATGCCTGCAAAGCTGGCTTGTCGTGTGATACCCCGCCCTAGAAGAAAACTCTGAAACACCCACCCAATACTTTCATTGGTCCGAGAGGTGGTTTACAAGGTGTCATTCGTTTGTGGGAAGGAATGATCTCTGGGATTTCAACAAAGAAAGTAATTATTCGAGACTGCTATTGCTGGAGATCAAGTGATTGTACTCCCGCGTGGAGTATTTGGTTAAACACATAAATAAGGGTATCACATGTTGAGATAGGCAGCTAGGGTAATTTAGGGAAATGTGGAATCAAAGTTTATGTAGTTGAGTGTGTGTGTGAGTGTTCTTGTATGTTTGTGTTAGGCATTCTGCTGGCCTGTAAATGAGCTTATTTTCTTTGATATTTTATAAAGATTTCTTAGTTTTTGCTATTGCTGTAGTATAAGTTGTTGTTGATGATGATGTTGTTGCTGCTGCTGAGCTTGACGTTAAGATTGTTGGTGTGTATTAATAGATGCTGAAGATGAAGCACAATGTTCCGACTGGGGGACTTCTACGATAGCTGTTGTTGCTGTTACAGATTCTTCTGCTAGGTTGTTGGTCACAGATGATGTTGTGGTCGCTGCTGCTACCGCTGTTGGTGTTGCTGTGGTGGTGGTATCATCGTATACCTGCTGCTGTTATGTGAGATCCTGGGGTGAGTCTATGGAGAATAGTTCCTTGTAGAGGGCAGGGAACACGACATTGGGATGTTGTTGCTTGAATTTACTCAGCGCTTCCATGTGCAGAATCGAAATGTCACTACAAGAGCGTTGTGTGAGTTATTTGGAAACCAGTCATTTGAAGACATCACTACTTACCGGAAATTGGGAATATTATTGAGTAATGTATCCAGTACCGTCACATCACCCTTGAGCGGAGCATGATTGGCCTCAAGTTCCTGCCTTATTGCATTCATACTTAAGTTGAAAAGCCTCTGAATTTCCGTATTCCCACGAACGCCATTTCGCTCTATAGCATGAAAAGATATATTGTTATTAATACGTCCAGCACAAGCCCGCTAAGTCGTCACTTACCTGGCCACAGCAGGACCAAACTTTGATACAGAGCCAATTCAGTTTCAGTCAGTTTTAATTCGGCTATGGACTTAGCCGTTTGGAAAATGCGTGACACTAGTCGCATTTCCTCAGAGTCGGATGTGTAGAAGGCTTCCTGGGGCAGCATAACATCTCCATACAGAACCGCATTCTGTGAGAGATCCAACAGCCGAGACATTCGAACAATCGCCAGCTCAAATGACCCCGTCTTTAATAGAAGGATCTGGACACAAGGAAGGTAAATAAAACAAGAAGAGGGCGTTATGAAAATTTTGCCTAAACAGCTAATGACTGTCACTACAAATCACCTGATCGTCCTGACTTAGACGCATAAAGCCTGGTATCAATTTGGCAAATTCGATGATATTCTGTATCATTTGAGTTAGCTTCTCCGCACAGTCCAGCCACAGCTCCTGTTGGCCCAGATTCTTATAATAAAGTATTCTTGAGATGTCCTGATAAACGAAAATGCACATTAGAAACATCCGAGTCAGTTCATTCTCCGACCTTGACCTACCTGTGGTTTCCTAAACATTTCGTGCACCACCTCCAGCTTGGTGTTGGTATTTGCATGGGCTTCCGCTAAGGTTTTTATGAGAACGTCGTTTATGTCACCGTCTGCTGAGTTGGTAACATGCAAGAAAGAAAAAAGAACCAATCAGAGTTGTATTAGATTACCTGTGTCTTTTCGACTTGAGGAAGTCTGTATAATGGGTTTAGACTCTATGCATCAAGACCAAGTCCCCGCATTGAGAGACAAAATCTTGGCAAAGATTCCAAAGATGTGCCCCCTATAGCAATGGGCATTGTCCTGCTGACAATGACGATGATGCTGATGATGATGGCGTTTTCCGATACACTCTGATTCCAAGTGTTCGTGTGTGGGTGAAAGAGAATAAAAACTACTGAAATTGTGTTAAATTGTATACTACCATGACTGATAAATTCGGGATCCATCATCGTACTTCGCGGTTCATACGTAGTACTGTCCACATAGTCTGCGGATATGTCGTATGCCATTGTTTGCTGAGGCGTCACCGAGGCCGAGTAGCCATACGGACTGCCATAACTGACTTCATTGCTCGAGTAGCCGTAGCTGGACAGAAAAGAGCGAAAAGACAGGAGGTTAATAAGGGCTTTGCAGGACGTCGATTATAAATACGTCTTACCCATTGTAACTGTGGTGCAACTGGTCGCTACTCGACGGCGTCTGTGTATCGAATACCGATGAATCGGGCGCCGCATCACTCTGTGCTCGCATCTGAGCTCTGTGAAATCTCACCTCGTCTTCGACTTTTTCTCTTTGTTTCTTTGACATTCTGCCGAATTTTACAGCTGGAAATGAATAAGTTAGTTGGCAATATAACCGATATATGAAGGACCGACTTATATTCGGTCTACCCCACCCTCCCTCACTTACCATCTCGGCTCATTCCCAATTTGAGGCACTTTTGCAGTCTACAATATTGACACCGATTGCGATTAACACGATCGACAACGCATTGCTTGTTGCGGGGGCACTGATAATTAACCACAGAACTCTGCGATCGCCTAAAGAAACCTTTGCAGCCCTCGCACGTGATAACGCCGTAATGGACACCTGATGACTTGTCTCCACACACTTTGCAGGGTATGATTTCAATTTGAGCTGTGTGAAAGAATACAAAGGAGGTATGAGTAAAGCTACAACAAATACAATACGGCATGCTAAGGAAATATTTCATCGCAAATATCGACATACGAAATTGCCGAACATTGTTGGCTACCTAATGAGTTGATCTTGTAAATTTTGAATTCCAAAGTTATTTGGGACTCATCTTTAGAGTTTCCTTTGTTTGGGACTTTAGAGTTTCCGAATGAGGAACCAAAAACAAAACAATAAAATCGAATAAAAATCGTCTCCAATAGCTCACACAGAAGTTTACCCTAATTCATGTGTGTGTGCGTGTTTTAGTTCTTGTGAGCGAGGGGGTCCAACGGAAGGGACGCTAAAGGAAAAACAAACATTTAATAACGAGAAAAGAAGAAATTTTGTTTCGTTTGTGTGTAAACGTGACAGATGATGAGTGTGAATGAATGTATGTACACAAACGAACGCAAACACACATACACACACTTATCTAAAGGCACTCGCATTAAAATGTATGTCGGTATGCTTGTTGGTGTGGCTGTGTGTACAAGTGTCGATGAACTTTTACTCAGAATAATATCCATATCATCGCTAAATGAACAAACAACAACAACAGCAACAGCAGCAGCAGCTACAACTACCACAAGCCCCCATATAAATTTCATTCTTGTTGTTGACGAGGAAAAACCTGAATAAAACAACAAAAACAATTGGCCCGCGCACAACAAAAACAAAAAGAGGAAGATTTACATTATTACATGATATTTCATAACTTTCTCTCTCGCGCTCTACCTCTCATCGGTATATGTTTACCTACATATATGTTTGTGGTTTGGGGAAAGTTCTCTTAGCATGTGAGAGCATTAGTCTCATACTGCGGCGTATGGCATAGAGCGCGGTAATGTCCCCAAATGTGAAGAGTAGTTCCACATATGCGAGAGAGATGGAGAGTTGTGAGTGTTCTGAGAACAGCGAGAAATGTTACTCCAAATGGGCTGCACGTATGTATGCCGAACGTCTCACGATTGTATTGACCATTTATTTTTGTGAGAATTTTGTTGTTGTTTTTTACAATAGCAAACATTGTTGTAATTTTCTTCCATTGGGTTTCTTGGATACATCATGATACACATTTATTTTGATATTTTAACGAAATGTATACTCGTATTTGTAGATGTTTCTTTTTATGGGTCTGAGACTGTTCTCAGTTTTAAGATGTATGTGCTAAAAACCCCACTGGATTATTCAGTTTTCAAACTAAAGGTTTTACCTATAAACATCACTTGATCGAATATTACATTTTCAATATTTAATCAGTTTTACTGCTTAAATGTTGAAAATCTTGTAGATGGTTTACTTCTTTGATTTGTTTCTGAATGCAATTGGAAAGAAACAGTAGCTGCTAGGAATCTATGGAGGGAAATGCCAACCGTAGTCCTCTACAATCGGTATTATGGCTAAATAAAATATTTTAGTGGATCCAAATAATTATTCTCAATAAATGTAGCTATATTCTCATTTCACGTATTTTTAGAAAATATTAAAAACTTCAGTAGTGTTGGCGGTTTATTTGGGATACCATTTGTATTTTGTTTTTGCAAAACAGTCTGGCTGAATCCCATGTTTGTTGTTTTTATAAAAAAAAACAACTATTTATTAGTGGGGAATGTATGGCATTGTTTGCCGAGGGGTAAGGCAGGGAAGACTATAGTTTCGGATCACGCCACTGATCCTCATCAGTTCCCTTAGTTTTTTGTTGGGATATTCTCCCCAGAAGCCTGACTATTTTGCAAAAACAAAATGCAAATGGTATCCCAAATAAACCGCCAACACTACTGAAGTTGTAGACGCAGGCACGGTTGAACTGTTTGGTTTGTTGCTGTATACTAGCAACACCAACAAAGTCGTTGTGTGCATTTGTCGCGATGTGACAACACACAACAGTGGGAAAGGTATGGAATTGTTTGTAAATGCCTTGTTAACCTCGAAGTGAGGCTCCAGCGAAATTCTCATACAGTTTATGTCGTTGGTCAGCTAAGTACTTCGCTTTGTTACAAGAGACATTTGGGTATGAAAGATTTTTTGTATAGAAGCAATAGCTTCTGGGGAGAATATCCCAACAAAAAACTAAGGGAACTGATGAGGATCAGTGGCGTGATCCGAAATTATAGTCCTCCCTGCCTTACCCCTCGGCAAACAATGCCATACATTCCCCACTAATAAATAGTTGTTTTTTTATAAAAACAACAAACTGGGATTCAGCCTGTCTATTTTGCAAAAACAAAATACAAATGGTATCCCAAATAAACCGCCAACACTACTGAAGTTGTAGACGCAGGCACGGTTGAACTGTTTGGTTTGTTGCTGTATACTAGCAACACCAACAAAGTCGTTGTGTGCATTTGTCGCGATGTGACAACACACAACAGTAGGAAAGGTATGGAATTGTTTGTAAATGCCTTGTTAACCTTGAAGTGAGGCTCCAGCGAAATTCTCATACAGTTTATGTCGTTGGTCAGCTAAGTACTTCGCTTTGTTACAAGAGACATTTGGGTATGAAAGATTTTTTGTATAGAAGCAATAGCTTCTGGGGAGAATATCCCAACAAAAATCTAAGGGAACTGATGAGGATCAGTGGCGTGATCCGAAACTATAGTCCTCCCTGCCTTACCCCTCGGCAAACAATGCCATACATTCCCCACTAATAAATAGTTGTTTTTTTTTTATAAAAACAACAAACTGGGATTCAGCCTGTCTATTTTGCAAAAACAAAATTATTAAAAACATTAGAAAAGATGTCGTTATGATTCGCTAGGCGAACTCGAATTCGAACTAACAAAATCAGTAGGAACCTGTTGTCGTCAAAACCCTCCAAATATAATTTACAGTAATATTGCTTAAGTTGGACATTTTAAAATTCCTTGAATATTATTATAAATTCCATTTTATTGAGGATAATATCAAACAAATAATTATCTATGTACAGGATGAAGATGGAGAGGATAACAGGTGACACGTGGTCAAGATGTATATGTTCTTACACATCCTAACGTCAAGTAAGCCATCAAATGTTGCTCCCAATTGTGAGTAGAAAAAACAACTCGAAAAGAAAGCTAGAATTCAAAACAAAAAAAAAAAAGAACACACTCTGTGCATGCACATAAACACATGCAAATGCGATGTGCTGTGTTCGTATATATATAAACTAAATGTACACAAATTCATCCACTCGTACATAAATGCCTTTATGTTGTTGGTAATCTGTACAACAACAACAACGACGACGAACAAACGCCAGAAACAGCAACAATGGCTGTGCAAAAATATAGGTCAAATTGTCTAAGAACTTTACTATGCTGCTGTTGTTGTTGTTTTCGTCGTCGTTGTTTTTATTGCTATTGTTGGTGCTTTTGTTGTTGTTGATGATGATTCTGTTCGAAATGAAGCCACAGCAAGTCTAATGCATTCGGCAGCATGTATGCCTGCAACCAACGCACATAGCCCCACTGCTTCCCCAATGTAGGTCTTTTTAATGCTTGTGTGTGCTGACTGCATCTGTGAATGTGCATTAACACACTACTACAGGCACGTTCATAACATTTCCAATTGTGTGTGAGTGTATCTGTTGTGTGCCAATGCATCGCTTGTGTTGTGGCTCATTCAGGTCTCAATGTACCGTTCGTTGCATCTTCTTTTTGCCACAGATATTGCCATCGACCGACCGACAATCCGATCGACCGTAACTGCTGCATTTCGATGCAAATGCCTAGTGGCAACGAGTCCATCCATACATGCCTACATCCCATTAAAACTGGAAAGCAAGGTTTAGCTTGGAGAAGTGGGTAGTGGAACATCAACCGCGGCCTGTCTGTGGGTCCGGCTAATGCAATCAAATACAAATGCATCAAATTGGCAGCGAAAACGAAATAAAAACAAAATGGAAAAACAACAGACATGAACGTGAACTGAGGAGAATGCAATCGCGCCAAGAGTGGGACGGCTGGTCAGGCACATCGTCAATCCAGCAAGAACGAGTGTATCTGCCCGAGCAACAACACTATCAGCCTGACCAGCAAACGAGAAACAACAACATGAAGAAGGATTGCGGTTCATCGTAACACATTTCGAGGTATCTACACAACTGTGCTGCAAACATTTGGTTCACACTCACACATCTGTATAGTGTTGGATAACTGTAAGTGCGTATGTGTATGCACTCAGCGATGTTTGCGAAAATTTATGAGTTCTACCACTTCAGCGCCAACAAGCAAAACACCTTCATCACTGCAGCCAGTGTTGCCACATCAGGCGTTTCAAAAAGCACGCATTGGATTTCCACGGGACGAAGATAAAGTCTAAGTCGCCGCAGACCACGTAGATACCGCGTTGTTAAACAAGTCGACTGGATATGGTGCAAGTGTTCTGTAGTTCGGCATGCATTAGCAGGCGACAATATTGTGTACTGACATCGATAGATCAAATTGTCTTTGTCGCCTTAATTCAATATGCTACCTAATTATTTAGACATGTTGATTGTACCACTCCTTCATACCGACGAAAGTTTCTAGTTTTATTTCAAAAAGTAGTTGCGGATTTTTTTAAGGGCGTGACAGTCGCTGATATTATACTTTAAAGAGAACATTTTCCTATCAAAAGGAAAGGATTAGTTCTTCCTTTGTGAAGTGTCATAATATTTAAATATATATTTGTAAATCATTTAATTTAATTAAAAATATAGCTTCCTGTAACAAAGTATAAATTGTATAATTGTTTAGGCTCGTGTCTAAATTCATGCATATGCGTTGGATTTTATTCGTCCCAAATGTTAAGTAGCTGCATTTCAATGAATATTACCCAAATACGCATTGCGTTTCAAAATATAAAGTTGAATACTTTTAGCATTGACAGAAGGTATTATGGATTTTTATTTATTTTTTTAACAACTCCAGTCAAGATTTTATTTTTAAAAAATGTTTTCACACATTTTCGCGTTTTCAATTCAACAAACCCTAGAGAGG